GTGGGAGAACTTGCACAATTGGTGGCTGACTAAATACTTTTTTGCCCCACTGTATGGCCCTGAGGCCCCTGGTTATCTAGCTTGCAGTGCATAATAGTCCTCTAGAACCTGGCCCATGGCCACCCTACTCTGAACATTTTCCACTACCTTATTATCAAAGCATTATTGGCAACAAGGCCGCCTCCTCTTTATCCTAGCAGGGCCATGGGCTTCATTTTAATCATCAAGTAGTCACTTGTGTTCTTAGGATGGCTCAGATTGTCTCTGGGGCTAGAAGAAGCCATGGAGAACAGTCCACTAACTGGCACCTTTCACCACTCAAGTGCTGGAAGCAGCTGCACAGGGAGGACTTAGGTTGCCCTCGCTGATCTCCAGCCTCTGAGGAAAAATTAGAGCTATTAATATGCAAACACCTTCATTAACCCTCCTAAATGCATGCAGATTGTGTCCTTCAATCAGCCACTCTTGGTACAACAGAGATGGTGGCTGCATATTTATAGCTCCTAACTAAACATCTGTCAAGAGGAAACAAATATTTGTGTATAAAGGGGTCTCAGAGACTCCAGCCCCGAATGCAATATTGGCACTGAAGAATCCCCGTCAGCAGATAGGAACCAAAAATATTTTGGTGCTAGAAGCCAAAAATCCTTTTAAAAGGGTTTCCATGCTGTTAAAAATATAGATTAGTAGCATTTTTAATGAGGTGGAGAATTTGCATACTGTCCAGATACTGTACTCAACTCCTATCAGCTCCAGCCAGTATGGCCAACAGCTAGCCACGCACCCACACCGTTGCTTTTATGCAGCTTGACCTCAAGGGCCACTTGTGAGTGATAAGCCAGCAGGAGAGGAACCTAGACTGCCAAAGAGGGAGAGTCTAGAACAAACTAGGTAGCAGCGGGGATGAAAATGAGTTCGATTTTACTCCCAACCCACATTTAAAAAAAAGAAAAAAAGAACTGAATACTGATAACTGGTTTAGTTCCATTGTAGTCAAGCATTTTCTCTTCCTTCGTATTATACAGGGTACCAATTTCTGAAGTAGCTTTATGTATTTGTTTTCTGATTCAATCCTCATTCACTTTCTCTTTGCAACTAAACCACCCCAGTGTACTCTTTTTGTACCTGTTATTTATTTTTGTATTCGATCCACACTCCTGACCTTATCACTTCTAGCTTTAGTGCACACTCTTGTTAAGTATCCCACTCTGAAAGCATTCAATTTACTATTACACTCTTCCTGACACACCCAGCGCTCACTCCCATACAACAAAGTGGGCAGAAGAAATGTATTATACACGGGATTTTCATTCCTTTTCACAGATATTCATTACTTGCTGCCAATAACAAATGAATGACTACTTTTCTAAGAATATTTGCACTTCTTACCATTTCTCCATACCTTTTCTCATCTTTAGTAAACACTCTATTAAGGAACACAAATCCATCTATCTACTTGCTCTATTTTTCGTTATTTTTTTGTGTAACTTATCAATAATCGGTCCATTTTCCATGTCAAACTATCTTAGTCTTTGACACATTAATGTTCAAA